TAGAGTAAATGTGTCAAAATAGTTTGTCAAATATTTTTGTCACAAGATCAACTTTCAGTCACAGAACTGTTATCATTTGGATGTCAATAGGGCAAACAGTTTTAGGATATGAAATATTTTTGTCTTTGTCTTGATAGACAGTTGGATGTGTAGAGATGTTTTTGGTTGAATGGGTGGATTTCTATATTGATGTGTGTACAGATTATTATTATTTTTTTTTTTGTATAACTATTAATGTATTAGCATAGATTAGCTCAATTTTTATTTTTTTAATCCCTTATATTTTTATATCAAAGCTGGATTTCTATATTGATGTATGTACAGATTTTTTTTTTTTTTTTTTTTTTTTTTGTATAACTATTAATGTATTGGCATAGATTTTTATTTTTTAATCCCTTATATTTTTATATCAAAGCTATATTTTAAAATCTTTTTATTAGTTATATTTTTTTAATTTAAAAAGGAAGTTTTAGGACAAAATTAAAGTGTTAATTAAAACAATACTAATGTTTTATAATAAATTGATATAATTAGAATACCAATGTTTTGCAACAATTTATTTCTATAGAAATATTAATGCTTAACTGTTATTAGAGATTGTAAATGATTAATTCGATTGAAAATTGTATAATGATTACACTTTTTTTTAGAAGTTTTTAAATCAATTTTTCTCAACGAAGTACAATATATTGTATTTACTAAAACAGAACAGTGTGAGATATCTGCTTATTATAAAAAAGAAGAGATACATATAGTTTTACCTTGCCAAATATCATCTTGATTGAGAGGCACAATATGAGAACTAAATGAAAGATGACGCTGAATTAACGAAGCATCATATTCAATTTCTTTAATGAATCGCCTGAGACCTAAAGAAAAGTCATGTTAATTTTTTTTAAGATCCCCAAAAAGTTTTTATACATTTAAAAATATATAAAACTGACTCTATAACAAACTTTATGTAATAAAAATTTTGTTTTTACATGTTGTTTTAGTTAAATTCATAATTTCCAAATAAAAAATTAGCTATTAATGGACGGCTAATAATATGTAAATAGAAAAATTATATTAATAATAACAATCAATACGTTCATCATATTTTTAAACCCTTGGCAAAAAATCATATTTATTGTAAGTTGAATGACAACATGAAAAAATAATGATAGTTAATTTTATTCTGAAATAATTCTCCCTTCAAAACTTTAAAGAAATAATTTAGAAAAGCAAGATGATAAAAGATAAAAAGTTATCTCATATCCCACATTTAATTATTGAAGAGATAAAAAACAATTTCTTGCCTATAATCTGTTGCAACGTTATAATCACCAATCTCAATTTTCAGAGATGGGGGGGAATCTTGCAATTACACAGCGATATATAACATATAATCAATTCTTAATATATTCACATGTTTTCTTTAATTTATCATGTATAAATTAATAGCATAACATTTTTCTACTTTTAAAAGTGTTTTTATATTCTAATGATATAAAATAACTTATTTAAAATTGAAAACCATGCTACAAACAAAAGAAAAGTGTTTACTGTACATATTTTATAAAAATTAAACAATTAAAGATAAATAAATTAATTTCATGCAAAAATAAAATTATTTCAATGATATAAAAAACATTGGAAAATTTCAGAAGTATTTTTAAAACTATTCAATTAGAAATATGACAATTTTTTTTTTAATTTAACCAATTTGATTGTTGTAAAGGTAAAAAAATCTTGATCAATATCAGTTCATTATTAATTCAACTTCCGAAAATTATAATTATTTCATTGTGATATGTTTTCATTTATTTACACACATTGGTATACAATGCCATTACAATTGCCTCCATTTTTACAATCATGACTATCTAAGAATATCTGTAGTTTCCTTTCTCACTTTATTATTTAGAGGTAAAAGAAAATTGTCATTGATTGGTATTTTGTATACTATATTTAAAGAGAGAAAAAAGATTATCAGAGAGGTTTTTTTTTTTATGTTAATTCAGAGGGGGAACCCCCTTTTTTTTTTTTTTACAGATTATCTACAACAAAGTATAAATTATAACCATATAAAATTGTTATGGTCTTCAATGTATCAATCGCTGATTATATGCAAGAAATTATGGTACATTTAGTGGCCCAATTGGCAAGTCTGAAAGCAGGACTTGAACCTTGATATCATGAATTAACCAAATTAATTAATTAATAAAACCATGATGATATAGATAAATAATAAATTCAGAATATAGCTTCAAAATGTATGACAGATTAAAATTCTTAAGTATATTGATATAGTTGCTTATATTAAAAAAAACAAGGAAAACTTTTTTTTTTTTTAAAGATGTATAAAGGGACAGTATGCTAAGCATATCAAGTCTTCCAATTATTTTGAACAGTATTTCACAGGTCAGGATAGCCTTAAAAGTATGTAACACATATAAATAATATGTTTATGACTAAGAACTTTACTCTTTAAATAAGAAATAATTCTATAAGTTTTATTTAAGAACAAGTAATTACAAAAAAGATCTCCTTCTAAACAATAAGAAAAATACAAAAATCTATTTTTAAAAATATCAAATAAAATAAAATTAACAAAACAAATCTATAAATAAAATGTGTAAGATACAAAATTTATAAAGATTTAGTTGCTCACCAATTGTATGAGTTCTGCAGATTGACATAAAAATAAATGACACAAGGGAATGCCACACTAAAGTAAAAATTGAGAAAAACATGCTGGATACACTCATGATTTGACACACAATCTCATTTAACTCAATCTTCTCACAATCTTTATTAGAAAACCAACTTAAGCTTTCATAAACATTAGCAATAGTAAAAAGTAGTCCTAATATGAATACTACTAAAAGCTCCATTTATTTTAAAAATAGTTCTTGTATGCAATCGGATGTCTTTCAAAAATCTTGAATGCAAGAAAAGACGACTGCTTAAATCTTTACAATAAAATCCAAAACCACACCAAAAATACACTAGTAAGATACCAATAGTTCCACCAGGAATATCTCTTGGTGTATTTGGAGACAAAATATCATATGCAACATACCAAGTATATGAAATGGCATAAGTTAATGCACCAGCAAAAAGTCAAGCCATGTATAATTGTTGCTAAAATTGGCTTAGAGCCTGATTTTAGAATTATACCATGGGATTTAGCAATGAGATACCATGCCCAATAAGGCAAGTGTTTCGACTGTTTGACTCTTGATTTTTCATTTTTTGGTTTAACATTTGCACTGGTATTTTCAATAAAGGATTTCACACTCTGATCATCTGATTCTGCTTCATAGAAACGAGATGTCACAGACACACTCCGACTCTTCCTGCAAAAATTAAATATTTTTAGAAGAAATAAAAGTATTTCTACATTTTAATAGTACAGTTAGGCTTGGTAAAATTATTTTGGCAGTGGTTCAGGCAACACAATTCATGTTATAGACATTGTTTATGTATTTTTAAAAATTAATTACTAAAACTATTTTTTTAAACATTTCATTAACAAAAAATAGTTTTTTTTTTATACATGTATGCAATCTCTAATTATTTTTATTATATACTGTCCAAATATAAATTTAATGAAATATGACTCAATGGATAATTATCAAAGTAAATTTTTTCATAATGAAATGTAGGTAAAAGAAAAATATTAAAATCCCATTTGCACCATTATGAGAAGAATTACTCAAAACACCAATCATTGTATCTCAAAACTTGTCAATTAATTTGGTTTAAAAACTTTTTTTACAAATTTTGTTGAATGATTGATATATTTTTTAAAATTAATATTTCATTAGAAATGTATTTTAAACATCATGGTTTCAGACATTAATAAAATTTATTATACAAGAGTTTTTCTAAAATATATTTATGCTATATTTATTTCTAAAATATGTATTTTCAAAAAATATAAAATTCATAGAAAATTTCTTCATTTTTTTTCAAACCCACAAGTGATAGATTATATAAATTCCAAATTAAGGGCTTATATGTACAATAACATTATTTTATTTAATCATAATTTAACTAAATTTAATCATAATTTAACTTAATAAATCAAATATGCATACTTCTCATATCAATGTTACATTTGTATTAATAAATTATTCTACAAACAATCCATGAATGTTATAGCAACATATTTAAGATAATAAAATAATTTGTTCGATATATATTATTTAGTATTATCATTTATTCAATAAACATGATATGGATTATTGTTGTTCAAAATATGACATCTTCTTAACAAGTACATTTAATTTTCAAAAGATAAATAACATTTAAACTCACGGTGAATTTGAACCCATCGCTAAAGGAACAGCATTTTCTACTTCATCAGTATTTATATCATCCTACATGAATATAAATACAAAATATTACAAAAATAATAGAAAAAATGAAAAACAAGTTTAAAAATTTAAAATTTTATTGATAACTTTAATTACATTAAAAACCAAGCATATTTATAGAAATAATTAATAATTTATATTAGTTAAAGAGTGTTAAAATGTTTTCCAAATGTAAATGTAAATAAATGATTCATTTGAATTTTTTTATAGACGAAAAATTCCTCGTGTGTATGATACGGTTAAAATTACCACCCCATTTAAATCCATACTAAATATAGTAGATACCATTGTTGATAATTTCTAATAAATCCTGGAAGGTTTCACAACAATACAGAAATGCAACATTGCGCAATCCAATCATACAATACAAAAGCAGATTTTTTTGACATTAAATGTTAAAGGAACGCATGATATCTATTTTATTGTTTGACAACTACTCTAACAAAACTAGTGATGTATATCATCCGTATACATGGAACGAATCATTATATCAGAACGCGTGTTACGAATCATTCCTTTTCATTCGCATCGAACTGCAATTACGATCGAAATCAACTTTCTCCCAACTCGCTCTCGCAGTTATTCTTTTCTAGCTTTAAGTAGTTTATATTATACATAGTAGTTTATATTAAGCCAACGGCCATACCCTGCTGAATATACCCTCGTTAGATCACCGAAGTCAACCATCATTGGGCGCAGTCACTACTTGGGTGGGTGACCACTTGGGAACACCGCGTGCCGTTGGCATTCACAAATTTGGGACCTGAATGGCCGAGTGTCTAGCGCTCTGACGTTCGATGCCACAGGTTTCGGGTTCGAATCCCGGCGGTGCCATGGATGTTTGTAATGGTTCGAATTCACTTTAAGCTGTAGGTCCCGGTCTCCTATGACTGCAAGAACGTCACGGAGTCAAAGTCAGACTTCTACCTAAGGGTGCTCCATCACAACAGAAGCTGCTTCCTTCCTCTTCAATCACGAGTAAGTATGGGCTAATGGGCTTGGCCAGCCAAGTGGGATAAGAAACAACAACAACATATTATACAACTGGGTTCGCAGAAAATCTACCTTCCCGTGGTGCACCTGGTAACACTTTTTAGTGGCTAAAAGATCTGCAACTTGGCATTATTGTTAGATTAATGAATTCTGTTTCAGCATGTTTTGTTGTATTATTTTATTGTTGTTGTAGGTTTTTTTTTTTTTTTCGTTGTTCTTCTTTTGCTGTAACTGTTCAAAATCTGTCATTGGAAATAAAAAAAATATATATTATACAACTAGTTTTGTTTCGGTTCCTCCGAACTTTTTATTGTATTCGCTGTATAATTCATGCATTTTTTAATATATTTTATTATCCTCATTATTTTTTTCTCTTAATTTTTAAATATTCTTTTTTATTATTTCCCTTTCACATTAAATATTCTTTTCCTTTCATTTTGTTAAAATTGATTAAACTTTAATAATTTACAAAAAAAAAAAACTTTTCTATCTTAATTTTTTTAAATTTACTTTTGGGCAAGATTTCTATTAGTCTGTACCGCTTTTTGTACCTGCAATGCCTATATCTTCTCATCAAGTGTCTCAAATCCAGATAGAAGCTAACGTCTGCTACGTAGCTAAGGTGCTTCGTATATACAAAAAAAATTTTTTTTTTTTATTTAGAAATAGAAGGGAATTTTTTTTTTTTTTGTTTGCCAAAAAATAAATTTACCTTTTATATTTATTTCAATAATGGATATATTTAACTCATTTTGTATTATTTTCAAAGACAAGTAATTTTTCTTTTATCCTTTCTGCTGTTTGTAATTTTTTAGAATTTTTAATATTAAATATTTTTATCAGAAAAATATCATCGATTTTTAATAGATTTCTTGAAATAAGAATATAATTATTTAATTTAAAAATATTAATTTGTAATCTGAATTGGCAGGATATATTTAAATTAAATGTACTGGTATTTGAAATACGAATTATTTCAAATAAAAAGAAACAAAATAATTCATTTAAATCCAAAAGCATCAAATTATATAAGAATTTCGATCGAGTGATAAGTTGCTATTTGTTAAGATGTGATTTTAATGTAATTTGGCTCAGAAATACTTATCAATGACCTTCCAATAATGAAGTGTTCGGGTTTGATATAATAAATTGCCGTAGGCAATAAAACAGCTTGTTTGACAGATACAGTTGACTGGCATTATAGTGCTGAGAATAATTACCAAAAATGGAGAGGATAATGAGTTTTAATTATCGACAAATCGTCGAAGTTCTGTAAATGAAAAGTTATTTTCTTCCTCGAGAACATTGGCTGATTCTGTAAATGTTATGACTAATGAAATATTATGGAACAGAAAAACGAGTGGTAATTTTTTGGGATAAATAGATACAATTATTAGAATACGCATGATTGCCTTAACGTTGGCTAATTCATAAGATGTTTGGAAATTATCATTAGACATCAGGAGTTTCCTTGAAGTTTGATACGCACATTATCCACATGTTTAAGAGTTGTCACCTTTGATGCTAAATTATGTTTTAAAATTTTAGGATGAGCCTTAGGATTTGTTCCATCTGAAACCTCAAATAGAAGGATAAAGGATTGAGCTTCTTGGTGAGAATTATTTTATAGATTTTCTAAAAATATTTCTTTCCCAATTTAAAGTGCAATTCTTCTCCTGAGATACAATCCATAAAAAAAGAGCTAGACTCGTCATGTGCCATGTCAAAATGAAGAAAACGGAAAATGCCAAGTATAAGTCAATTTAGTTTGCATGTATTGAAATTAAGAACGTGAACAATGCTAGAAAGAAATTGTATGTTTTACTTGGAATCAAAATATGTGAAAATGAAAAGGAGCTAAAAGTAATAAAGGAAAAACAATTTAGGTAACTTACTCTAATTGAATAACAATTTGAAAAACAATAAAGTACTTTCTCATCCTTTGGAAAGTCAGAACGAAGAGCAATTGACTCCGCAAATACAATTTGTGTTGGATTTTCGCACCATTCCTGCAAACACACACAATGCTTAACCCAATGTAACGACTATAGAATAAGAAAAAAGGGTACAGGAAGAAACCGAAACACTAACATTTGGATAAAAATGATATAATTGCTGAGTGAGCTTGCACATTTTACACAATCTAAAAAAAAAAAACTGCAATTTTATATCCACTGATTTATAATTATTATTTTTTATTCCTTTAGTTGAATTATATGGCAACATTTTCTTCTACAAGCGGAAAATTTCATTTTCTTATTTATGTGCCTGACTGTAATAAAAAATTTCAGAATTAAAATGCAAATCAACTGAAAAGTATGGATGAAAACTTAAAAGTTCAAGATATAATTCAGAAACTGAAAGTAAGTAATTTTGTATATTAATAATCATTTTGATAATATCTATTTTTAGGACAATGTTGTCATAGATAAAAAAAAAAGTAGTAAAAATCTGCCTGATTGTACAATCAGATATAGCTAATCTTTTAATTTTATGTGATAAATTTTGTATTTTAATGTTAATATTATTAAGCGTGCGTTTCATATCGTACAACCATTTGAGCAACCACATGATTAGTTTTCTCAGAAAAATACTGATACTAATTTTGTTATTTATTTTCGTTTTACCACTTAAAATATTTGGTGGGAACCCATGTCACTTTAGTTTTATACATAACCAGCCTTATAGTTTGCTTTGAAATATTGGATTCTTTATTCCTTTCAGTCTCATAGTACTAGAAGGTCTATATTGATGAAAGCTGGTGTAAATTAACTTTTCTGATTATTTAATTATCTTGCACTTTCTAATTTAATACTATTTTATGATTTTCAGAATTTGTTTAAGAATTGATATGGCATTATCAATATTTGCATTAAACAAAATAAATTAAAATATTTTTTCCTAATCATGTTGTAAATATTTCCATTTCGTAAGTAGAACTATATTTATTCACATCCATTAATTATACATACATATTATTGCTAAATATGCTTACATATATTTATGTAAATAAGAAAATAAGGCCAAATTGCAAAATAGGGGTTGTTGGAATTAGGTGACTTTTTGTGACACCAATTGAGTGATAAATTGCCAGATGTGGTAACCAGAGTTTTTGTATTGTTTGCAATTCACTTCACTTACAGTTGCAACTCATTACTTGAAGGACTTCGACGATTTAAAACAATTTTGAAGCCAAATCTAATTTACCCCTGATCTGCGATTTTACCGAAAAATAAAATGTGTATTTTACTCATATCTTACAAAAGTGTTAAAATTTTATTTTTAAAAAATATTTTAACTTCTCTTTAGAGAGAAAATGAGTCTATTCAAAGTAAAGAAAATTTAAAGTTAATTTTCTAAAAATAGTTTTAAAATTATGTTAATAAAAGTTCTCTTTGAAACGATTTTTTTTTTTAAATGAAAGGAAATATTATATGCGATATACTTGCAGAATTGTGCTATCATATACAGTAATTAGTTATATAGCTTTAATATAGAGTATTTACTTCATTTCATTTATTGAAGCAATCAAGCTTGAAATTATTATCATTATGTATAAAATCTATTATAATAACCTTAATATCTTCTTAAAAAATCGCGTAATTTTAAGTTCAATTATGGGGAAAATTCTATCCAACTTATGTAACTTATTTTTTTTAGCAATTAGATTGTCCTTTACTTAGTAATGGAGATGATGCCTGGATTAAGGAAATATTATTCAAACAGAATTTTGACAGGTACCACTTGATGGAATGGGTCTTTTCAAAGTAAGGAGAAATTAAAGTTAGTTTTCCTAAAAAAATCATTGAAAACTTACTAAATACTAAGATAGTTTACTAATTTTTTAAACTTTTGATGTAGATATTTTAATTTTTCAGGCTTGGTTTCGTATTCCTAAAGGGGATGAATGTCAAAATTCCTCTGAAGTGAAGCTGAAGAGTATGTATCTTTTATATCATCTTGCTGTTTTCATTATTATATTAAAACATCATTAAACTATAAATAAAAGAATTATTTTTGATTTTTGTGCATCTAATTAAAAGTAACTCATAAATTGTTCACTTGTCTCAGTATGCTTTTTTATTTAAATAAGCTTCACTATATTTAAATGTATATAATTTCTGTAATTTTATTATAAAAAGTTCTTGAAAAGTTCAATTCAAGATTGTATATATCAAACATTCATAAATTTATAACCCTTTCAAAAAAAAATGTTTTTCTGATTTTTGAAAGTAGAATTGCTAACTGTATAAATTTTGCAGTTAAAATAAATATACAAGTTTTTTAAAGCATTTCTTTGTGTGATTCATGTAGAATATCAGTTGTTTTGCAATAACAAATTCATGTCAGATTTGTAGATGATAATTTATATTAATAGCAAACAATTAATTCAGTGTCAGTTTGATAAAAACAATTTATCCCTCTTCGGGAAATTTGCTACATTATAAGCAGTAAAAGAAGCATTATAGAATTAAACTAAGAAACTAATTGTTTATTGCAAAGTAAATCTGGGAAATCTGTTGACTAAATTGAATTACTCAAATGTTTATTTAAATTGATATATTTTTAAATATGTTATATCATTACAATTATTTACATTTGGAAAAGACTGCAGTATAGATTGTTAAAACACTGTTACTAAATGTTTTAATATTAGAGATTAATTGTTAGATTCTCTCTGAATTTATATAGCTTGTTGTTGTCGTTGTATCCCTCATGGAAGGACGGAAGAGAAGGGGGCAGCTTCTGTT